TTAAAGTAACGGTTATGAGCTTTCCCGCTTTTCAAAGAATCAACTATTGTGTACCGAATTTGGATTAATTGCTAGAGTGAATCGGAACATTCTCTCGAGCCTAAACAGAACAGATGCTAGGCTATGAAAGAGAGGAAAGAACATTCTCGGGGGGGGGGGGGGGGGGGGGAGGGGGGTGTAACACCAACACCCTGCTACTTTAGCAGTTTATACCCTCATAATTGCAGCGTCTGCAAGTGCATGAAACATGATAGTTTTGGTCATTACTTAATAATGCAAAACATAAAATAATCAAAACTTTTGGGAAAAGCAGTCTCTGTGGTACGTAATTCCATCGCCTTTACGTTAAGAAGGCTGTCATGTCAAAATAAGAGCAACTTTTTTCTTTACTCACCTTTAAACTTTAATCTCCCTTGCCTGCCCAGGCCACCCACTACCCACCCAAACAACCCCCCCCCCCTCTCTATATTTGTGTGTATATACAATTATACATACAAAAAAATTGTCAATGACCTTGTGATCAAGTGGCATGAAGTAATTATTTCAGATGAAAAATCATGGGTTAATTCTTAACTAGAGAACCAACTCATAAAAGGCAGGCTGGTCCGGTGATTATATGGACATGTATGTATATACGAGAGGTTGATTGTAGTATTATTATAGTGAAATTTCTTTAGCCACATGGCCAGATGTGTAGGGAAGACTACGCGTATTTGAGGCAGAAAAGCATAAATGAGGTGCCCTTTTGAGTAGATAATGCCATATTTTGCTTTTAATTGTGCTTTATGATGTAATGCTTTACTTAAAGCTAAGCAATATAATGAGAAAAAAAGGCAAACAACTAGCTACTTGACACTTTGTTACCAGCCCAGGAGTGTTGTATTAATGGATGGTGTGATCTACTCTCCTAAACAAATACATATATTAAAGTGATTATTGATGGTGAAAGAAGAGAAAGATAGATAACCATAGGTAGCTTTAAGCTTTTATTCTTTGACACAAATTAAACCTCACAGCGTATCAAAAAAGTATTGTGTATCAAGAAGAAACATGTATACGACGACAGATGTACATTGGGTAAACCACCTCATTATATAGAAAGATATCAAGAACACAGATGAATGCCCAACTGATAATCTACTTTTTTCATGTGGGTCCTAATACAAATGTCTACATCAAGATTTTGTGTGTGGGTACACATAGTATTTTTCAGATATATATAGTAGTATTGTTAGGATACTTAATTCTTTTTGTAGTGCATGGCCCCAACCCTAGGGAAGAACTAACAACAAACAGTTAAGGTGACTTTTTGTACAGTTATGCCTTTGCTCTTTGTTTAAGCAAGATAAATATATAGATACAGAAGAGTAATGGGTGTGAAAGAGTTGTATGGGCTACATTTGGTTGTATTATATATATATATATATATATATATATATATATATATATATATATATATATATATATATATATATATATATATATATATATATATATATATCTGCTAATTAAAGAAGAATGTTACATGTTCCTTGCTTTCATTCAAAAACACACCAACCACTTTTCTTGTTTCCAAGAATACTTTGGATTCAAAAATGAATTGTGCCCTTTGTATGTCTTTTTAGGCCATCAAAGATAGGAGAGAAGCTTTTTGACTGGGGACTTAGAAGTGAGAATTATACCCCCCTTTTGAAAGAAGATAAAGATAAATACAATATAGCTTGTGGCATGTAGTTTCTTAGCTTAGCTTGGACCATTTACTATATCAGGTACACTTTGTGGTTTGTATTACTTTTCATCACATGCCAATATATATGCATGTACTGTGTGTAGATACACCCTTCATTTTTATATTGCATAATTTATAAATAACTAATGAATGTATATAAGAAACCGTGACAATTATAATAAAATTTAAGACATATTGTCAGGATCAAACGCATCACTGCGCCAAAAACTATTGCTAGTAACGAATGCACAACTTTATTTCCTTATACTTGCGTAACAGTCAACACAACATTTCGATTGCAGGATGCTGGACTTTGCCATCCAAGCCTTTGTGCAAAGGATGTAGTACGTATATCTTATTGAAATTTTTTATAGCAAATAATATAGAAAAAATATGTGGTTTTACTTTTTAGTCTCTCAATTATGTAGTTCTATCATTTTGGTTCATATCTTTTGGTTGTTGCAGAATAAACCTTTAACTTTATATATAAAAAAGTTGTAGTTCCTCCCTCGAGTACCAATAAATTTGTGAACTTTCGATTAGCAAAAAAATATATAAAAAAAATCCATATGTGATTTTACAAAAAGCTAAGGACTTAATAAGACATGAAATATGAGTCAAATCTCGATGGAGCAGAGGTTCATGGTTTCGTTGGTCGAGGGATGAAAATTGCAATAGTTTTGTAACGATGTGAATGTATTTTGTAACGACTCAAAGACGACATAAACTAGAATAATTAATGTTGCATAATTGATGAGAGATTAAAAAAGACATTTCTCTCAATAATACTATATAATAAGAGACTTGTTGAGGTATATTAAGATGACATACATAAAGAGGGAGAAGGATTGGAATATGGAGACATTCCCTAAGAGTGGAAATGGCCCTAGTCCCCTAGCCTAGGTCATGTCACTTACATACTCATGTAAAGTCATATTAGATGCTCAAAACCCCTTTGGGTCCCCATATGAAACATTCCTAGAGTTTAGGATTTGAGCTTCTCTCCATTGTCATTCTCAAACAACTAACATATTGCCAAAAATATTAATTAGGAAATTTTCTTCTTAAAATAAATAAAAATTTGAGACAGATCGAATTCTTGAACTCCCATCATTGGGATATCTATCATTCATTCATCCATCCCCACTACTCCTGGCCTTAAACCACTTTAATTTCTTTGTCAAAATACAATGTTGTTTTTGCCTCTTTTGAATGACTACTTTTATGTTCAAGGAGACATTTAAGACTAAAAGTGTTTTCATCAGTACATAGTGATTTGCCAGGTGGGATTGTGGAACACCATCCAGCAAAAGCACAAGATGATTGAGGGTTAAAAGGAAGATCTCTAGTTTGTTGTGCACAAGTATATATGTTTATATGTAATTCATAAATATATATAAATGTATTTTGGGGTTATTATTTTATGTATATGTAGGTGAAAGATTTTAATTGGGATTCTCTGTTGGAGTTACCAAGATAATGCAGATAGGATTGCTCTACTTTCTATGCCATATGCCACGCTGAAGAATGAGACCACAAACCTAACAAGGCATGGGCAAAACAAAGTAAATTATCCCCACAAACTCTCCAATCTTGAAAGAAAAGAAAATAAAGGAACAACAAGATTCACTTCACTTCTTCCACTAACAGATGCATGTAACATAAGTCAAGATCTTAAGTTTAAAATTAGGGTCAACTTCAATATCCTATCATCTATATGTGTTGTTGGATGCTATATAAATAAGTATAAAGAAGTAAAGTTATATCTTCAATTAATTGTCAAGATCAAATACTTATCACATGCCAGAAGTTATAGTTAATAAGGAAAGTGTATGTTTATGTCATTTGACTGATTCTAAAATAATAGGCCGGGGCCGTATTTAATACGGAGTAGTTGGATTTGAGCCCTCTTTTTATTTTTATTATATAAGTGTAAATATAAAATGAAAATACAATATTTATTAAAAAAAATTTGTCAAAATATAATGCATAAAATATCCAATAAAGACAAATAGAAGTCAAAATTTAACATAAAAATAATATTTTTTTTATGCATATTTAGATACAAAATCATTTACCAAATTTTTGATATCATTTTTTCCAAAATCTCATTTCCAATGGCACTTAATAGTTGACACTAATACATGAATTCCAGAAACATAATTACCAAGTATAAAAAATAATAGATTATATATATAATTTTTAAAAAATTGGGGGTCCTGCTGTGCCATCGCCCTAGTTGCACATGGCCAGAGCCGGTTTTGTTTCATTACAATTGCTTAATAGTCAGCATCATACCATGCATGTTTTGATGGTAAAATACTGCGTTTGGATCTCCCTAATGTCGCCTAATATTCATGTATGATATGATGTATGTGCTCATATGCTAGCTAGGACACTCACTAAATATGAAGTGAGAATAGTTAACCTTCAAGTTGCAATATTGAATAGTTGCAAATTGATGATATTTGGAGTGAAAAGTTGAATTTGATTGTTAAGGAGATTATGGAAAAGGTGTGTCTAATCTAAGTTAGACAGCTCCACTTTGATCCTTATTATATCTTTTTGCCTAATTCTGTAAAATGGTTTGACCACTAATGAGAAGCTAACTATGGATCCGATTTAATTAGAACAAGATTTGTTGTTCCACGTTCATAGGTGCTGTGTATGTGTTGATATATCTAATCAAATCTAAAGCTTCTTCCATCCAGTAATAACAGTTAAAATAATAATAATAATACTACTAGCCAATTCAATATATGCTTTGCATGGAAGGCAGTGTTCCACTTCCATATTATATTGCTTGTCTTCAAGATCAGATAACTAGCTTTATTTATATTTACAAAAAGAGTTACGTCCTAATCTCAAGAGTTCTTATTATCCTGATGTCTTATTTAATTAAAACTCGTGATCTGCTCTAATACTTTAATACCAATTGTCAGAATTAAGGACTTATGACTAGTTAAAAATTATAACTTTATTTTCTTGTACTTACATAATAATCAGTATCACGTTTTGATAGTAGGATGCTGAACTCGGCCCGCCAATTAAGAGAGTAAAGATGAGGCACCTTTGATTTGGTGCATTCCTTCAATTCCTCCTCCTAGTCAGCACATGCATTCCACTTTCCACTACAAAATCCCTCTTTGGACCCCAAAATTTTACCTCACCCTCAAGAAAAGAACATACATACAAGTCCTCCCCCTACCCCCTCACCCCACCCACCCACCCCTACCCCCACCTCTTCTTATAGTATTTCTCCATCTCTTTCTCCCTCTCTTTCCACACAATTTGGTGTTCAATTCTGCATACCCTCCAATTCAAGAAACCCTACACATATCCTCTTCTTAGTACCCATGAAACCAATATTGCTTTCACACTCTTAGATTCTTATATGATCTCTGGTTTAATTTCCCTTAGTTGTTTATATTGTTGAAGTGAAAAGATCATCATAATCAGGTGGGGAAGATGAGAACAGGAGGGTGTACAGTGCAGCAAACTCTAACACCGGAGGCCGCAACCGTGGTGAAACAAGCCATGGCGCTTGCTAGGCGGCGCGGCCATGCTCAGGTGACGCCTCTTCACGTAGCGAACACCATGCTTGCTTCTCCTACCGGCCTGCTTCGAAGAGCTTGCCTGCAATCCCACTCTCACCCTCTCCAATGCAAAGCTTTGGAGCTTTGCTTCAATGTTGCACTTAACCGCCTCCCTGCTTCCTCTTCTAGCCCCATGTTCGGGCCTCAGTCGCAGAGCCCCTCCATTTCCAACGCCCTCGTGGCGGCCTTCAAGCGCGCCCAGGCGCACCAGAGACGAGGGTCGATAGAGAATCAGCAGCAGCCGATTCTGGCGGTGAAGATCGAGCTGGAGCAGTTGATCATCTCCATTTTGGATGATCCTAGTGTGAGTAGGGTGATGAGGGAGGCTGGGTTTTCTAGTATTCAGGTTAAGAGTAATGTTGAGCAAGCAGTTTCTCTAGAACTGCAGTCTTCTCCTTCAAACCCTAAAGAAAAAAACACTAACACCACCTGCAGCCTGTTTCTTTCCCAGTCTTCTCCATCATCTCCTCAGACTAAAGTAATCCCATCATCCCTAATATTAGCTAAGCATGAAGATGTGATGAGTGTAGTGAACAGTATGATGAACAGAAAGAGGAGGAGTATTGTGGTGGTGGGTGAGTGCCTTCCCAGCTTAGAAGCTGTGGTCAAAGGAGTGAGAGAGAAAGTTGACAATGGAGATGTGGGTGAGCCTCTGAAACAACTCAAGTTCATCACTGTCCCTCTTTCTGCCTTTGCCAATAACAGGAGAGAAGAGGTTGAACAAAAGATTGGGGAACTAACTTGCCTTGTTAAGAGTTTAGTGTCAAAAGGAGTTGTTTTGTACCTGGGAGATCTCAAATGGATCACTGATTATAAGGCTAGTTCTAGCAGTTCTGGCAGCCATAGCCGAATCGGGTGTTACTGTTCTGTGGAGCATATGATCATGGAGATTGGGAGACTAATCTGCAGTTTTGGTGAGCATGGAATGCTTTGGCTTCTGGGAATTGCAACTTTTCAGACTTTCATGAGGTGCAAAACTGGGCACCACTCATTGGAGTCTGTTTGGGGCCTGCATCCTACCACTGTGCCTGCTGGAAGTCTGGGCTTGAGCCTCAATCCTGCTGATAATGAAAGGTAAAATTTCTCAACTTAGGAACCAATTCAATCAAAGATTTTGTTGGGTAGTGGCTCGGAGAGCCGAGCCCATCATCCAACCTGACCTAACTATTACGCAAGTATAAGGAAATAAAGTTGCAAAAGATTTAGTTCAGAAAGAAAAAATATATATATTTGATAAAGAAAAAGTTAAGAAAAAAAAGTAGAAGTTGTAGTTGCTTTCATATTTCAATATGCATCTATTCTGCCTCAAAAGACTACTACTACCTCTTTCTTGTTTTTGTTGTTCTTCATAGTTGTTTGGTGTGCCTGCAGACCATGACCTTTTCTTTTTCCATTAGCTTTCTAATTTTCATAACATAATTTAATTAATTAATTAATTAATTCTCTCCTATTCCCTTTCCACTGTACTGTACTCCCAAATCATGATTCATTCTTGAGTAGTTGAATCCAACTGATCTGATCTTGATCTTCATACTTTCCATTCAGTGATCCCATTGCTGAACACAGAAACAAGAAATCAGAAAATGGATCTTCTTGGATGGTTCTTGAAAATGGTGATGATGATAATAATGAGGAGAAGCAGCTAAACTGTTGTGCTGATTGTTCAGCCAAGTTTGAAGTTGAAGCTTTGAGCTTACAGAAAACCAATTCTATGAGTGAATCCACATTGTCTAGCCTCCCTCCTTGGCTCAGAGATGAAAGTAGAAGGCTCCATAGCAGCACTCATGATCAGGTACTACTTCTTATCTTTCTCGGGACAATATTACTCGTGTCAAATCTTTCAGTTTGCTCTAAATTAATCTTATACCATGCCAATTGATGGTTGTTGGGCCGCGACTCAAAGAGTCGGTCCATGTCAGCATCCTGCCATCTAAATGTGTCCCCGGAGAATTATAAGAAAATTAAGTTTTGTCTTGACTGCTCGAGAATCAAGTCCAGCATCCTATTATTACTTGATCTGACAATGGTTTTTTTAATTTGTTGTTCAGAAGTGTGTTTCAGTGAAAGAGCTGTGCAAGAAATGGAATTCGATTTGCAGTTCAGAACACAAACCATTACTAGAGAGAAACTTAACCTTCCCACCGCCATCATCGTCTTCTTCTTTCTTCTCATACGATCAACAATACCCTAGTTTGAGAATGTACATTCCTGAGAATATGAATCCTGCAAGAACAGCATTCTGGGTTAATCCCAATTCCAATTCTACCCCGGCTTCTTCAAGCGAAATCATGGAAACCGAATACTACGTCCCAAAGTTCAAGGAGCTGAGCGCGGAGAATCTGAACATTCTGTGCAACGCATTGGAGGAAAAGGTGCCGTGGCAGAAGGACATCATCGCGGAAATCGCGGGGACGGTCTTGCAGTGCCGGTCGGGGATGGTGAGGAGAAGGGAGAAATCAAGAAACGGCGGCCATGACGACGTGAAAGAAGAGACGTGGCTGTTCTTCAAAGGCGGCGATGTCCAGGCGAAGGAGAAGATAGCGAGAGAGCTAGCTAAGACGGTGTTTGGGTCTCCCTCCAAACTCGTCTCCATCGCCCTGAGCAGCTTCTCATCCTCGGCGGAGGATTTATTCCGGCATAAGAGAACGAGAGACGAGCAGAGCTGCAGCTATATCGAGAGGTTTTCTCAGGCGGTTTCGGCGAACCCCCACCGCGTTTTCATGGTGGAAGATGTTGAGCAAGTGGACTACTGTTCCCAACTTCAACTCAAACGGGCAATCCAGACAGGAAAGATAAGCAGCAGCTTCAATGGCGGCGAGGACGTGAGTTTCAGAGACGCCATTATCATCTTGAGCTGCGAGAGCTTCACCTCGCGGTCCAGAGCATGCTCCCCGCCTGTTAAGCAGAAATCCTCGTCGGATAATTTGTCGTCGGAAAACGCGTTGTCCGGCGGTGAGGAAACCACGAGTTCTTGCGGGTTCTTGGACTTGAATATCTCCATTAATGACGATCATGAAAGGTCGGTTGAAGAAGATGACGGGGTTGATAACTTAGGGCTTGTTGAAAGCGTTGATAGTTGCGTTACCTTCAAAATCCAGAATCATCATGAGGAAGAAGATATAATCTTTGTATGATATATTATGATTCATATGTTCACAAGTTTTTGTTACATTTTCTTCATTCTTGTCCATCTTCAGAACAACATCAACTGTACGTACTGGATGGAGTTTTTCTACAAATCCGTATAGCTAAAATATGGACCCAAAAATGGAGGAAAATATCAACAAGCTAAGTAATTTGAACAACCTAAGTGTATTATTATTATTATTTTGCCTCAATTGAATTAATGATTCTACTCTCTTTTTTTTCCCTAATCTTGAAACTTTGTCTCCGATCCCTAGAAAATACCTTAAAGGTGCAATCCTAGTTGAATTGGTTTGGTAAAGATAAGGTCACAATTAAAGTCTGACATTCTATAGCCTCCTTGTGTTTCTTTTTCGGCTAAGGTAGAAATGCACATTCAATTTTACTTAACATGCACTGAACTTTCAACAACAACACTAATATAAGTGATATGTTAAGAATAAAATATATAAAATAATGAATGTGTATATTACATACAATTTCTTGTTGCATAATATTGCTCAATGCTCATGAGAATGCATTTAAAAAATGTGCTCAAGTGAAAAAAATAATTATAATACAATTAAAAATAAAATGAAACTGTATATAATTACCTACTTTACATGTAAGGAATTTTTACTATTCGGCCATAGTGTCAAAATAAAAAGAGAAGCTTGGTTGAGTTTTTGCAAGAAAGTAAAGAGGGTAAAAAGAAAAAGAAAAAGAAAAAGAAAAAAATAGCTTTTATTTTTGAATTATGATATCAACCTAGCTATACAATATTATAAAATTTTAATTTATTTTCCTCCCCCACTAATTACTTTGTCTTATGATATGAAATGTGTAAGAAAATAATGATTATTTTTGTGAACTATTGTTCATTTTTCAAGAACTAATTTCTTATAATTATAAAGATACTGAACATTAGAATTGGCAACATCAATATTGCTAGTAGCAAAAATATAACTTTATTTTTTTATATGCTTGCATATCAGTCAATTTACTACTACACAAATAACTATATTTAGTAATAAAAACGTAATTTTATTTCATTATACTTGCATAGTAATTTTTGTGGTAGAATAGTGAATTACTTGACCGTCCAAACTTCCACCTAACAATCTATATATAATTACGATAATTCAATCGATTTTTTGTCGTAATTTATGATGAATAAAACATAATGAAGAAATTAAGGAAGAAAAGGGGTAAGAGTACGTAGTGAGTAAAATAGTGAAGCAAAAAAGGAAATGAAAGGAAATAAAGAAAAAGCCAAAGGTGAAAAACACTTTCACGCTTTTTGCTTTTGGTCTGTAAAAACTCTTATAGACTTGAATTGGGGAAAAAACACAACAAGAAGAAGGGATCAGATAAGTGGTTTTGTTCCTCATTCAAAAGAAGGAAAACTTTGTTTTCATGAGTTAACGTTAAAGGAAAAGCTAAGAAATGAGGCAACGAAAAAAGAGACAAGGAAATATGTACAACAAGACCATATGTCGGTGACAGATCAACTAACAAATAAAGAATTTCACCAACTTATTAGTTAGCATGCATCTATCCCTAGACACCATCTAATTACACCTTAATTCAACACCCAATTAAAGATAAAGTAGCATTCATAAAGTGTACTTAGGTTGCTCCTCTAAGTTTTTCTCCCATCCTCATTTCAACAACTTAAAATGGCAATCAACTCTTTGCTACTTACCAATTGTCTCAAACTGAGAGATTAGAGTCCATTTTTTTAAAGTATAGTGTTCGGCGTAAGCTTGGAGGATCGAATCTAATATCCAGTTATTGAAATGTAGCGTTGACTGTTATATGCAAGTATTAGAAAATAAAGTTGCGTCTTCGCTATTAGCTATAACTTTTGGTGTAATATAATGGTGACCGCTTGATTCTGATGATAATTGGTACAATGCAGAGATAAGGAAATAAAGTTATCTTTGTGCTACTAGTTGTAACTTCTAGCGTAGTGATAAGTGATTGATCCTAACATATAACATGACATTGTATTGTACTGTAAAAATATGATTATAGTGATTTCACCACTTTGATTCTTGCTTCTAATTTTACCCAATAATGTTCTATGAAGAACTAAAATGGGTACAAATTTGATAGTTAAAAATATTATTGGATGAATGAAATTGGAAATCCAGAACCAAAATGGTGAAATCATTGTAGTCAAATGGTCATTTTAGTACTTTACTAAGAAAGTTTATATATTTACTTTTGTAAATTTTAGACTATAAATTAAAACCATATCATTGACATCAACATAATTTAGAGACTCTCAAGATCAAACGCTTATTATTCCACCAAAAGTTATAGCTTCATTTCGAGGGGTAAAATGTTGATGCATCTCTCATACGTGACATGCTTTGATATTAATTATTATGATCAAGCATTTACTATTATTGTCAAAAGCTATAATTAGCAATTAATGGATGCACAACTTTATTTTCTTATACTTGTAATAATTAGTGTCACATTTTAACCGATAAGATGCTGAATTTGGTCCTCTAATTAATAAATTGCCACCCAATAGATAGTATAGAGAGGATATTGAATGCCATATAACAAGAAGTGGCTGAAGTGTACTATTCATTCTATCATTAACTAATAAGAACATTTAGATAAAATATTATTCGGATATATCATTAGTACGAGAATTCCACTACAATGCACATATATACTATAATGTATATTCTATTAAAAGCAAGTCAAGTGGCTAAGTATGATTTTTAAGTTAAGAACGAATTTGTGTATTGCTCAACATGGGGCAAAGCTAGTGATATGAGATAATGATGGCACTAAATAAAGCTAGACAATGTTTATGATCATGAATTTTTAATTAAAATAAAAATATATAAAAATTAAACTTACTTGATTCCATTAGAAACGTAATTTCTAGACCGAATAAATCAAGAATTGTTTCACCTCTCTTATCTATATACCTTAATCACCCCATGATGATACGGAGATTAAAAACCCTAGCTAATCTCAAAAGTTTTCATGGGTTTGTGAAAGATGTGATGAGAAAACCCTAAAAGATTATTATCTCAATAGTTACTTAAATATTGTTGGCAGTATTATTTCTTAAAGACACCATGGAAAAAGCAATATTCTTAAAAAAACTCATAACCTTCTCTAACATACCTCTTTTAACCCTTATAAACTTAAATTTTAACCGAATGAAAGGGAGGGAATTCCATCCTATATAAATCAACATTATGAATCAATTATTTCTAACACCTAAACCTAGGCTAAATCAAGACTAGCCCACTAGATTTAACCCATCCTCAAGGTTAAGCCATATCTAACACAAAATAAGTGAAAAATTATATACTATTCTTCAATAACCCATTGTAGAAACCAAGATTAATTAAGGAGTGAGATATATTCATTACTTAACGGCTGTGCAAAGGAGGTGCAACTTTTGTGCTTTATTAAGGATTGTCAAAAACCAAAAAAAATAAAAAAATAAAGCAAAATCTTCCCACAGAAATATATATCAAAAGAGGAGAGGAGAGGAGAGGCAGCACTACTTTTCATGGCTTGTGATGCGTTTTGCAAAGGAATTAACTTTTTCTCACTTTGATTTTAGTAACCCCAACATTCTTATCTCCAGAAAGCATTATGTAAAGTTGTGGAATAATAGGAGGGGTTCGGAATTAAAATACAATTATTTGATAAAGACAAATAAAAAGTTAAAGTTAATTTTAAAATAAATAAATAAATGTTCATGTTGAAGAACATCGATGAGAATCTCCCTTTAAACCTTAAAGATGTGTTTCTCTACTTTAGAATCTCCAAAAGATCATTATCTTCATGTCTTTAAATTAAACCTGAGACCATAAGAATGGAATTTGTCGTCTACTTGTAGCTTTTCAAAAGATTACACCCCTTTAATTAAGAATTTAATTAGCAGGCTGTTAATGCAATTGTAATATCGAAAATTTGATCATTATAAAAGGTTGTGCATCATGTTAAATAGCTCTTTTTCTTGAGCTACAAGATTAAAAATTTAATTTTTGTAAATGGTTGAGTTGTGTGTCATGTTAAAGAGCTCGATCTTTCTCGTAAGCTATAAGATTGGAAGTTTGATTCGTATCTTTCTTCTTAGTAAGAGTCAAGTTTTGTTCGTGTAACTCAAAATATATCTAAATTAGTTTTGCAGTGAAAGAATACAAGATATCGAATTGTAAAAGATTTAATTAAATCGATTGTCGAGATAATAAATAAATGATTAAGGTAGAATATGAAAGCAAGTTAATATGATGTCCTTAGAGAATTGAAGCATCATATTCATTGGCTATATATACTATGATTTACTTTTTCATGTTCTCTTTTCCATAAAAAAGAAAAGGAAAATAAAATAAAAATCTAACTTCTGATTACCAACAACTTTAGCTATTCTTTCACCTTTTTGATGTTTTATACCATGAGTAAGAAGCTGGCTTCTCCATGTTGGTTTATCTTTTCTCTCCTTTTTAAGTTTTCCCATTTTTATGACCAGGCCAACTTCTTTGAATCCCATTCCCCCCTCCTCCTTTTTTTTTTTTTTTTTTCTTAATATCGTAATATTATATATAGGGTGGTTCATATTTATCGAGAACAAAATAGAGTAATTGACTGAGTTAGTTGGTAAATTCTTCCATTTATCAAGTTTGGATTGGGGTTTGCTAATTTTTGGTTCTCTTCTCGTTGTTTCAACAAATTCTTGTTGAGAATTGTGCTAGCAAACTCCATTATATTCTAAGAGAGTGTGGGTTTTGAAAAGCAGCTAATTGTTGTGCTTCGTCTCAATCTTTAAAGTCACTATCCTATTGAAATAATGTTAATGACATTGTGGTCAAGTGGCATAACTGTGACTCTTCTAAATGAGAGGTCACGGACTAATTTTTTGCAGAATTAATTACTCTATATCTGTTATAATGACATTGACAACCCATCCACTACATTGGGACTTCTTTTGCCAGAGTTCACGGAAAACAACTAAAATGCATGAAAAGTATAGAATGATGAAGTGAAAGCTGCTGGGAAAATTCAGATGAAATGTGAAAAGAAAATCATTATTGGCCACCAAAGCTGTGAATCTAATGGCTTACACACTCTTCTTTTTGAATGTCTCACAAACTCTCAGTCTCCCTCATACACACACACACACACATATATATATATATAGACCTGTGTTCAAATAAGAA